ACTGCTCCTAACTGCCCATGGAGCACCATGAGCACTCTGGCCATCACTGATGCCTTTGGTGACATCAGAATGGGCCACCTGTACAACTTAGAAGAAGAAGGGGTCAACCCTACCCTCCTTCTTCCTGATCGCATCGATGCCCCATTCTGATGTTGACAGAGGCAGTCATACAACCATAAAGAAGAAGAGGAGATCAGTTAATCATGTAAGTGCTTCTATCTGTCAAAATGGGACATCTGCATGATCAGGAAGAAGGAGAGAAAAAAGAATTGCCCTCTTCTTCCTGGCTGTGTGGGTGCACAATTCCAATATTATAAAAGTCGTCCATGACAGTCAGGAGCTCATATAGAGCAGCAGAGGTGGCACACAAATACAATCCATCCCCGTTTCCTGCACTGATGAATGCATGGAAAGATGCTGATGAGGGATCTGCCTAGACCAGTGCCAATTTTTGTTCTTCTGAGTGTTTTGGACTTCAGTACTTACGATTCTTAACAGCTGGTCACCTGCCTAGGATTTCTGGGAGTTGAAGTCTAGATAGTGATCAGGCTGAATCAAACTTGATAAAGTTGTCTATACTGCTCTGAAGCCATGGGATAGTCTGGAGTTTTCAGCAGACTCTGGAGTATCTTGCACAATGGGTTAAACCCTTGTGCCGACAGGAAAGCTGACTGAAAGGTTGGCAGTTTGAATCCAGGGATGAGCTTCTGTCTGTCAGCTCCAGCTTCTCATGCGGAGACATGAGTGAAGCCTCCCACAGAATGATAAAACATCCGGGGCATCCCCTGGGCAACGTCTTTGCAGATGGCCAATTCTCTCACAGCAGAAGTGACTTGCAGTTGCTCAAGTCGCTCCTAACATGCAAAGAAAAAGCAGACTCTGGAATCTGTCAACTTTGCTCAAAGTGGAACAAAGTCCATTTAAAACTAAAATCTCCAAGATACTCACTGGAAATAGCTATGCATTGTGAAGACCTTAATAAAATAAAATAAAACTTTATTTATACCCCGCCACCATCTCCCCAAGTGGACTCGGGGCGGTTTACATGAGGTCAAGCCCAACAACACATCAATAAAAACAAAACAGCAAGCAAATAAAACAGTACAATTAATATAACTCACATATATGTGATAACACACAAAATTTAAAACCTTATGGCCGGGTCAGATGTAATAAATTAAAAATTCTAAAATAAACACTGGGCGTGAACAGAGGTAGGATGTATCTAAGCAGACTGAGACTGAGAGTTCCTGGCTTGGGATTTTGTTTGGTTGGTTGTTTTGGTAAAAGCTGCTTTAGCCCTTTAAAACAAACAAATAACAAACAAATATACAGTACATTTTATTTCTTATTCGCCTCTCCTAAAGGCTCAAAACAAGGGTCAACCTAGTTAAAAGATGGTTGGAAAGATAAAACCATTAAAAATATGAAAATGTATAGAAATAAGATTAAAGCACATTAAAATTAATTCATACCAGTAAAATGCCAATATAAATTCCTTGTTTAAAATTGACTGGGTAGCCAGCCCATGGTTTGGAAATGGGGCAGTGGTGAGGTTGTGGGAGACTTGGCATGGAAGGTGTCCATGACTACACCATCATCATTCTCTTTATCTCTCCTCAACTCCATTGCAGGTATTATAATATTTTGCCCAATGGGAAAAAAAAGATTTGAAGTTGGGAGAAAAGTTTTTAAATAGTTTTGTCATTTTTTTGTAAAATTGTTCAGTTGTGGGTTCTAGAATTGATCTTGTCAATGTGAATTGACAAGATAGGTATTTATTTCTGTGTGGCACACAAAGAAGGGAAGTGGGGATAGGTTTGTCAGGACCTCCCTAGAAAAGTTTGTATTTATTTAATCAATTTCAGATGCTTGATTCTGCACTGAAATGTTCTATGTATAAAAAATTAACACTTGCCCAAAAATGGGACACATTATATCAGCTTCTGCAGAATGGCTCACTCTGTAGCATTACATATATTTAGAAAGTTTCTATGCTCAAAATGTGGCTTCCACAAGGCTTCTCTAATTGTTCTGATGCTGCCTATGAAAATAAGCCATGAGGCAAGACATTGCTCACCCACAGCTAGGGCGCTCAGATTGAAGAGAACAGATGGGCATGCCTTGCTCAGCATTTGCTTCATGTCTGCGTATTATTCAAAAGAGAAAAATAGATTTGGTCTAAGGTGACTGAAACTCCGGACGGGACATCAAACAAATCCAATCACTCAGCACACATAGGCTGTTGGCTCTTCCTGACGGTTTTATGGCTGCTCAATGAGCGTGGTAATGGGGAGAATACACATTTTTGCTGTAAAAAGTCATATGGAAGTACACACTACGATTTGAAGAATCATCCTCAGAAAGGTAATAATACTCTTGGAAACAAAGAGCACATTCCCATCTAATGTGGTTTGTTTTCAAGGAAAAATGGGAAGTGGGGCAAACAATATATTGTAAAGTTTCAGTAGTGCAGTGGCGTTGTGCACTTTGTATTTTTAAAAAGCAGATAGGGAGCGTGCTTCTTGATTTATAAGCAAGTTGTACTTTCAGGCGGCTCATGGGAATGCTCATAGGCAGACACCTATGAGTGGGTGACCCAATGAATGGGAGACCTTCAAGATAGAATTATAGAATCATAGAGTTGGAAGAGACCTCATGGGCCATCCAGTCCAACCCCCTACCAAGAAGCAGGAAAATCAAATTCAAAGCAACCCTGAAAGATGGCCATCCAGCCTCTGTTTAAAGGCTTTCAAAGAAGGAGCTTCCACCACACTCCGGGGCAGAGAGTTCCACTGCTGAATGGCTCTCACACTCAGGAAGTTCTTCCTCATGTTCAGGTGGAATTTCCTTTCTTGTAGTTTGACGCCATTGTTCCGCGTCCTAGTCTTCAGGGCAGCAGAATACAAGCTTGCTCCCTCCTCCCTATGACTTCCTCTCACATATTTATTTATGGCTATAATGTCTCTTCTGCAGGCTAAACATGCCCAGCTCCTCATCGGGCTTGTTCTCCAGACCCTTGATCATTTTAGTCGCCCTCCTCTGGACACATTCCAGCTTGTCAACATCTCCCTTCAATTGTGGTGCCCAGAACTGGACACAGTATTCCAAGGCAGAATAGAGGGAGAGCATGACTTCCCTGGATCTAGACACTATACTCCTATTGATGCAGGCCAAAATCCCATTGGCTTTTTTTGCCGCCACATCTCATTGTTGGTTCATGTTTAACTTGTCCAGGAGGACCCCAAGATCTTTTTCACATGTTCTGCTCTCGAGCCAGGCGTCCCCCATTCTGTATCATTGCATTTCATTTTTTCTGCCCAAGTGGAGTATCTTGCATTTGTCCCTGCTGAACTTCGTTTTTCTCTTCCTTCCTCCCCCCCTTCCCATGTCATAAACAACCGTTTTTTCAACAATGGCAACATAGGTGGTGGGAATAACAGAAAAACAGAGGGAAATTGTTTAGCTCCTTCAACCCACCCTCCACCCACATAAAATGGACTATTCTTCTCTCTAGCACCCCCTTGTGGCTTCCACCCAGATAAAAGAACAGTATCAAAAATAGTTTATTAAACTGTAAAAACTTTGGGTTGTTGTAGGTTTTTTTGGGCTATATGGCCATGTTCTAGAGGCATTCTCTCCTGGCGTTTCACCTGCATCTATGGCAAGCATCCTCAGAGGTAGTGAGATGCAGGCGAAACGTCAGGAGAAAATGCCTCTAGAACATGGCCATATAGCCCGAAAAAACCTACAACAACCCAGTTATTCCGGCCATGAAAGCCTTCGACAATGCATTGTTAAAACTTTGTTGTTGCAGGACATCCTGCAGTACATTCTGCTATAGTTTTTCAGTGAATATTTCATAGAGTCTCAAGCAAATCAACCTAGATTTTGGGCAGCCACCAAAACAAAAGTTTCTGGAGTAGAAGAACTACTTTCAAAATAAGTACTGCACAATTAAACAGGAAATAAATTACTTTCAACCAGGGACATAAAAAATTACAGATTTTGTTACACAGTGTAATGTTTCCTTTCACTTTTCTTGTTTTGCTGTATACACTGATTTCGTCTCTCCTACTCATCTTGCTGCATCATTTGAGCTGAATTACTGGGATGAAATCACAATCCTGTCCTGGGCCATTTTTTCCAAATCTCTTTGCAGAGATCATTTACCAAGGAAGGACAACTGCCTACAGACCATGAGATCACCTCTACTATCTGCCAGGAACACAACGCTCTGCTGGAGGTCATCCCAGAAGTAAGATTACAAGGCATTTGGCAGAAAGCGGCAGAACTGCAAAGAGGACTCAGAGGCCTAGATTTTTCAGCTGTTAAAGCTTTTCAATATTTACTTATTAAATCCACTGACATTGTGCCTTTCCTCTAATGTGTTCAGGTACATTCATCCCCACTTTACCCTCAGAGATGCCCTATAAGGTAGGTTAAGTGAAGAAACTGTAATGGGCTTCAGGTTGTTCAGTGAGCCTCATGGTTCAGTAGGAATTTGTTCCCAGAGCACCCAAGTCCGGGACTATAACCATTACACCACACTGTCTGTCTTGTGCACCTGCACTGCTTATGTCTGACAAGCCAGGTTTGGTGCCTAATCGTTAGTTCTGACAATTGATTACATTAGTAAGCACTGTTTTTTAATAATCACCATTTCAACATTTCCTTGAATTATTTTTAATTCTGTGTACATTTATTTATTACTAGCCATCCCCTACTACACGTTGCTGTGGCCCAGTCTGGTGATCTGGAAAATAAAGTAATGAGAAAGTGTTGGTTTCTAATATATGTAATGTCTTTATGCTTGTGGGTAAACAGTATTTCTTGCTGTTTCTTTGTCAGTGTTGATGTGGAGATTTTCTGGCTTGCCTACTCTGGAACATGCAACATATCATTGTCCTTCTTTAGGGGTCCCTTTCAAATCTATGATACTATATCAATAAGTTGAATGGCAAATATCAGCAGCAGCAGTATATCACAAAAAGACTTACTGGCTTCCTTGGCTTTCTCAGCATAGCTGGTAGTCAGGTCCTCGTCGACAGGGTGCTCCACAGGCCCTATCATAGGGATCAGGTGCCTCTCTGCTCGAATGTTCTTAGTCTTATGTGGTAGAAGCATGGCCTCTGGGGATGGCTCTCGGTCCTCAAGGAAAGGAGGCTGGAGCAAAGCTTCACTCTCGGAAAAAGGGGTGTCTGTGCGACTTCCTGGCTGGCAGACAATCTCCCTCTTGGCCACCCCACTGAGGCCTTCTCCTCCTTCTCTAGCTTGTGTTGTTGCTTCAGGGGTGCTCTCATACCCACTCAGCTCTGAGAGAGACACTTCATCCGGTGTCTCGCCCACCTTGTTGTTCCCTCCCTCTGGAGGAGAACGGGGGCCCTTCTTGCGCGCTCTCCGCTGCTTTTCCTGAGCAATGTTGTCAGCGTCACTATCCGTCTCAGCATAGTATGCTTCACTGTCTGGAGGGGATGTTAGGATCTCCAAGTGCTGCTGTCTTTTGGGCTGCTGCTCAGGTTCTAGAATTACACAGGGACTTGCCGGTTCAGGACTACGCACCTGAGATACCTGGCCAAGAGGCGAAGTTGGTGAAACTACTTGCAGTTGCCTGGGAGGAGGGGAATGTAGGAGTCTCACATTGGACTGGTCTCCAGTAGTTGCCCTGAGAGAGAGAGAAAGGGGGGGGGAGGAGGATTTGAATCAGTTAAAAATGACAAGAGACATGATGTATGAGATCAAAGCCCTACCTGCTTCATCCCCCTGTTTATACAGTAGCTAGCCAGATGCCTATGGAAAACCCTCATCCATAAGTACATCAGTGCAATCACTCCCCTTTTGCTTGTGTTTCCAGGAACTGCTATACAAGACAATGACTGTATATTGAGAGTTGTGTGTGTATTTAGTGCTTCACTGTGCATCCAGAACAAACTCAGGGTTTTGGTGTCCAGATTTTGAACGTTAGCCTTTGTAAGATTCAGAGATCTATACCTCAGCTAACAAGATTTCCATTAACAGAAATTTGGCACAAGTTTCAGACACGGAAAAAATAGTTGTTATCTCCACCAGAAGAAGAGGAGGAGGAAGAAGAATTTGTTCAATCATGGTTCACCAATCATTTTATGAAAACTAACAAGTAAACTGCCGGGGAGACTGCTCTCGATCCCACCACCATCGCAGTCGCGTTTGGTGGGGACGAGAGACAGGGCCTTCTCCGTGGTGGCCCCTCGGCTATGGAACTCCCTTCCCAATGAGGTTAGATATGCACCCTCCCTCCTGACCTTCTGGAAGAAGCTGAAATCCTGGTTATGGGATTAGCCATCCACAGAGTAGTTTGTTTACTAGGAAAGGCAAGATTTATTGGACAGGACTTGGACTGCTTTGGATGACTATTTTAATTCTGGTGATTTTAATCTGGCGAGTGGGTTCTTAATGCATATTTAGAATTATTTTAATTTTATGGATGTATTTATTATGTGTTTTATAGTATGTACATATGAAAAGGGAAAAACAATTGATTTCACCATTCCTGTAGAATTAATGCAGTTTGCCACTATCTGAACTCCCATGGCTCAATACTGTAGAATCACGAGAACTGTAATGTTATAAAGTTTTTAGTCTTCTCTGCCAAAGAGTGCTGATGCCTCCCCAAACTACAACTCCCAGGATTCCATAGCATTGTTCCATGTCAGTTAAAGTGGTGGCAAATTGCATTCATTCTACAGTGTAGATGCATCATTAGTCACTGCAATATTAGTAGAATTGAATCCAAAAGCTGTTCTATGCAGGCACTGAAATGCTGTTTGGAGCTGACTTGAGGTTGGGCTGTCCACAAAATGCACACCCCCAATGTGTGCTGCAACATACATCCAGCCAAAAACACTGTATTTTAAAAACCCACCAGAAATTCAGGTTCAAAACGTAAAATCCTCTGAAGCTGATCATTGTGTACCCATGAAGACCAGAATGCCGAGTGCTTGTGAGGACAGGGCTAGCGCTGAAGCATTCGGGGAAAAAGTTGGATACACAGCTCAACCGGAAGCTAAACAAATACCTCCCTTTGAGAGGAAACCACATCATTCCCATAAGAATACTCAATTTCCCTTACTTTCTCTTCTCTGTATTTGTCCAGTGCTGATACTTATCAGACAGGCTGCTTCTTATGAGTGCACCCCACTGGATGAGGTAGAGAGAGAAAAATCACACATTGGCATCCACCCATGTGGAATCCCATAGCTGTCGTTCCAGGGTATTTATCTCATTGAACCAATAAGATCAAGTCCCATGATAACACCAACCTTATAGGCAGTTGTAATCAATACATTTTGTGGTCTTATTTTCCTCAGTTTGTTTTGTCCTGACGTTTTTTTTTCCTGCTTGTTGATTGAGATGCAAGGATCCACAAGCACACTTCCTGACTCACCAGGAGGTCAGTTTGTGGTCGAGGGGGCATAACAGATCAGTTAACACACTGCTTGGGTCTGTCTTCTTTCCAGAAGCCTTTTGTTCTGAAAAGCCTTTGGCTCCTCAACAGTAGTAATTTTGGAATCTAATGTAATTATACAAAACAAGATTATAATATAAAAGAAAGTAAAGTCACTATCATGTTGCAGCACGCTCCAGAGAATGTTACAAAATGTGGACACTGGGAGCAAACGATCCTGTTACGCGGCTCTTATTTAAACCTGATGCCAAGCAAGCAAGAACTTCTCCCATGCAACATTCCTTCTGGCTGGCTCCGTGTTTAAATTGGGCTCTCAAATTCTGTGCATAAATTATTAGCGTGCCAGTGCAACATACATCTGCTCGGGCCACAGATTTCTTGGATCCTAAAGCTATACAGGCAAAGCAAGATGACTTGGTTTTAAAAGACTCAAGATGCTTGGAGCAATGAGTGAGAAAACTGATCTTACATGTCTAATATCCTGTTTAAAACAAGCCACCAAAAAACTGAGCCTGAAGAATAGAATCCTAGAGTTAGAAGAGGCCATAAAGGCCATCCAGTGCAATCCCTGCCATGCAGGAATACACACTCAAAGCACTCTCTTCAGTTGGTCATCTGGGAGCTGCAGTGGCACAATGAATGTGCTGGCTGAACTGCTGACCTGAAGGTCGGCAGTTCGAATCCGTGAGATAGAGTGACCTCCCATCTGTCAGCTCCAGATTCTCTTGCAGGGAAATGAGAGAAGCCTCCCACAGGATGATAAAACATCCGGACAGAGGCAGCCCTAGGTAATTTTCAACAATAAGCAAACAGTATTTCCCCCCCCCCCCCCAACAACCAATCACTGATATATATTTTCTGTTCGTCATGGGAGTACTGTGTGCCATATTTGGTTCAATTCCATCACTGGTGGAGTTCAGAATGCTCTTTGATTGTAGGTGAACTATACATCCCAGTAACTACAACTCACATATGTCAAGGTCTATTTTCCCCCAAGAGTGCCTCAAGAGCGCCCCTGGGAAAAATCAACTATACTGCAAATGCTTACTTTGCATAATGGGTTGAGCCGCCCCTGCATCCGGGCATCCCCTGAGCAACATCATTGCAGACAGTCAATTCTCTCACACCAAAAGCAACTTGCAATTTCTCAAGTCACTTCTGACATGATAAAAAGTTGGTCATCTGTTTTAAAACCTCCAAAAAGGAGACTCCACCACACTCTGTAGCAGCATGTTCAATTGCCGAACAGTTCCCATCATAAGTAAGTTTTTCTGAATGTTTAGATGGAACCCCTTTTTCCTGTAGTTTGAATTCATTGCGTCATCTTCAATATGACATTCTTCACCACCAGCATTCAGGCAATGGTTCTTCACCATCAACTTTGCTGGACTGGCCACATTGTTCTTGTGTTTAAATTATTGTGATTTTATATTGTTGATATTTATTTATATTTTTCTTGTATTTTATTTTCATTTTCATATTCATATTTTACTGTTGTTGTATGTTGTTTATTTGCATTGTTGTATTGTTGGGCTTGGCCTCATGTAAGCCGCCCTGAGTCCCCCTGGGGAGATGGTTGCGGGGTATAAATAAAGATGATGATGATGATGATGATGATGATGATTATTATTATTAGAAACACCACAAGATGAATCCACAGCAAACACCCTGCTGCCTGTTGAACTGGATCACACGTTGGACACTTCCCAAGTGTCTAGGACTGTGTGATATATTGGCGAATAATGCGTGCAGATCCCAGTAAGGTGGCCTTTTGCAGCTGGCAGATGGTAATCCTGTCAGCGGCGATTGTATTTAACTACAGGCCAAGGTCTTTAGGCACTGCACCCAGTGTGCCGATCACCACTGGGACCACCTTTACTGGCTTGTGCCACAGTCTTTGCAGTTCAGTCTTTAAATCCTCATATCTTTTCCAGTTGTTTCTCTTCAATCCTGCTGTCACCTGGGATTGCAACATCAGCAATCCATACTTTGTTTTTTTAACACAATTGTGAGGTATTATTATTATTATTATATTGTCCAAATTCCTGATCACTGTCTCCCAAAGCAGTTACTTTATTCTCAGCTCAAGAACAGAAAACAGAACATCAGTGAGCAGCCAAAGAGATTTAAAGATGAGCTTCAAGCTATCCTTTAAAAATGTGGTATAAACACCAAGAACTGGGAAGCCCTGGCCCAGTGCTATGGATTTTGAAGAGGCACAAATAGAAAGCGAAAGGGGCAAACGTGCCAAGAGAAAGGTGCGTCAAGCAAACCCTTGTTGTGGCTGCCTTCCACCTGGAAACCTATGTCCTCACTGTGAAAGACCATGCGGATCTGAAATAGGCCTCTACAGTCACTTGAGGACCCACCACCAAGATTCTACCTTTGGAAGACAATTATACTTGGCCATGAGTGATCGCCTATAGATAGATATCGACCAGAATTGTAATGAGACTTTTTTAGCTGCCACATCACACTGTTGACACATGTTCAGCTCTTAGTCTACTAAGACTACAAGACCCCTTTCACATATACTTTGGTCAAAACAGGTGTCACCCACCCAATATCTCCGATTTGTTTTATGTTTTGTTTTGCCTAAGTGGAGTAACTTACATTTTTCGCTACTGAGATTCATTTTGTTAATTTTGGCCTAGCTCTCTAATCTGTTAAAGTGATTTTGAATTTTGATCCTGTCCTCTGGGACATTTGCTATGTCTTCTAATTTGGTGCCACCAGCAAATTTGCCCTCTAGTCCAGCATCCAAAGCAGTTTATAAGAATGTTGAATAGCACTGGACCAAGGAAAGAACCCTGTGGCAACCCATTAGTAACTTCTTCCCAGAATTTTTTTTTTGTCGTGTCAGGAGCGACTTAAGAAACTGCAAGTCGCTCCAGGTGTGAGAGAATTGGCCATCTGCAAGGACATTGCCCAGGGGACGCCTGGATGATTTGATGTTTTTATCATCCTTGTGGGAGGCTTCACTCATGTCCCCGCATGAGGAGCTGGAGCTGATAGAGGGAGCTCATTCGTCTCTTTGGATTCGAACCTGCGACCTGAAGAAGAGTCATCGCTGAACACCCTTTAGATCCTGTAAATCAACCAATTAAAAAGCAGGGAAATTTCAAACAAGAATCAATCAGGTCCAGCTAACACTTCCGAGCAAAGGATTACCCCAGGCAGCAATCAGACAGGCTTTGAAGCTGCAAGGGTATTAAATACTAATCAAGGTGGCCAACTGCAACATTCACACTTGCCTCAAGCAGACAAGAGTTCTTTCTCCCACCCTGGACATTATTCCACAAACCTCACTTGCCTAATTTCTAACAGACCCTTTGAGGTTGCCTGCCATAGATGTGGGTGAAACATCAGGAGAGAATGCTTCTAGAACATGGCCATACAGCCCAGAAAACTCACAGCAACCCAATTAAAAAGCTCCTCATACTTTATTAGCTTGTTTACAAGAGTATCTGTACAGGTCTGCATTAAAACTTCATGAAAAGGCTACCATGAATTAAATAGTGTCTAATTTATTCAATGAGGAACCGCATATTTCAGTCATCTCGATTCCAATAGCTATTACCTCCATTACCTTTTAACAACGATGCTGAGGAGACCATTAGAAGAATCAATGAGCTGCATGGCACTTGCATGTGAGAGGCCAGCACATGGTCTTCCGTTGATGGAGACTAGTTCATCATTTTCCCACAGTCCACCACGACATGCTTTACTTCTTTTGCGGACCTAAGGAAGGAAAGAAAAAGATTCACTGGAAAATGAGGTGGAAAAGGACAGTTTCCAGAGAAGTGGCCAAGTTAGTCTGTCATAGCAGAAACAACAAAGAGCCCTTTTGCCCATCAAATGTAGGATGACATCTGAGCATCTGAGTTTTTGTGAGCTTTAGCCAAAGTCATCAAATGAGCTGCTTTTGTTGAGAGTAGCATGTTATAATGAAATTCTATACAGATACCTCAAAGGTATCTCTGTCCTATATCCAAATTATCAACTTTAGATTATCAACTTCATTCAGGGAAACCTTTGCCTTTGTTTGCGTATTGTATTACATTGCTCACTGTATAAATGGAATGAATGTTTGCCTACATATGTCTGTACTGTAATCCGCTCTGAGTCCCCTTGGGGAGATCGAGTGGAATATAAATAAAGTTTATTATTATTCTTTTAATATCATTGTGATAATAATCATCCTTGGCATTTACAAACAACATTTCAAGTGCTCGGGGTATATATGAAAGACTGGGCCATATTCATTACATGAACGATGGTGATGGTTATGATATTAGCAAGGCAATAATGTAAATCCTTATTTTTATTTCAATAACAACTTTTATGAATCTGTAAAATATTGTTATCCTGTATTGAGGAGTGGGGCAATACAACTGAGAAAATATTGAGATCATCTAATGTTGTCATGCTTTGTAAAACCCCAAAATTTGAACTATAGTGCCCCCTTTGATTTCTCTTTGTCATCAGTTAGTCAGTACCAGTTGGTGGCTTCTACACCAATGTGGCGGCAAATCTGTTCTGGGCTCTCGTTTTTTAATTCTAAAAGAGCTGTCCAAGGTGCTAAACCCTACTCTCAAAATAGGTTAAGATATTGGAGAGCTCTGTTAATGTTAAGACTAAAGCATGTTGGAAATAACAACCTTCTTCAAGCCTCCACTAGTAATTTGTTTGTATATGCTTCTGTTTGCTTACTGTATTACATATTTATGTTTTGATATGCAGCTGTCCCTTTACTCTATGTTTCTTGGGATTGTAGGAGGGGCTGCAGACCACATGATCAGACCTGGGACTGCTGAGATCTTGGACTCCATTTTAGAACAAGGAGATGCTTTAGACATTGGACTGTTAAAAGCAAACACACATTGCTGTTGATTATAAGAAAGATGCCCTGTGTTATCTGCACAGAGAAATCACTTCAAATTTATCTGTAACTGGATTGACAAGTTATGTACCTGCATGCCGAATACATGAATGCTGTGTATAAACCAGATATGTTACATTTAATGAAGTCTACTTTATTTTTGTCTCTTGAGGAGCATGATATAGAAACAAGATGTTTTATGCGAGTAGTAGATGTTTTTGGGCACTGGAAAAAAAACACTCCTAAAGAACTGCTATATTTTGTGCATTGGCACAATCTCTGTTCCCAACAGATCAGAGAAAACCAGAGAAAACCAGAAAACCAGAGAAAATCAGTCTAACAAATGAAAGCCAAATTGCCTTGCATAAGTATAATTAGATAAATATCACTGAAGAGAAGATTTTACTCAAATGAGTTTTTTTACTCTTCTCTGGACAATCATACTTTTACAAAAGGTTATTATTTTCAAATGGTTGTAAATGCCATTTTTCTCCAAAAGGCTATGGAGATTCTTGTTTTCCAAACAGTTATGACCTCTAAAAGGTCATGCCTTTCCAAAAAAGCAAAGCTTGGCATAAATGCACCACCTTCAAAGCATTCCACCAATAGCATCATTATACATCTCAATGTCAAATGGCTATGGCTGAAATTGTTAAAACCACTAACTGAATGTTTATTGAAGTGTGTATGTTGTATGTAGTCAAGCCACCCCTGATTTCTTAGTATGATTTCGCAGCAGCTCGTATCTTTTGTACCAAAGTCCTAGAAAGCTCAGTCGACTCGCATGGGGTTCACAGAAGGACAAAGAGCTAAACTAGAGGTGACATTAAACTTCTTACTTGCACGATTGTTGTTTAGTTCCTAAATCATGAAGGGAGAGGCCAAACTTCTGTGTTCCTAATTAACACCGAGCTGTTAGCATCAAATGTTAATTGAAATGAAAACTGAGGAGCTCCCAAATTGCATGTTTAGTGTCTCTGGTGTAAAGTGAAAGAATAAAAAAGATAGGGAGGCAGTCCTCCCTCTCTGACTCTTGAACACGACCTGTCTAAATATTTGTTGGGGCTTTATCAGCCTTTGGGAATCAGCTCCTAGCTTTTCCTGCAATCTTAAAATAGAAATTGCTCATTCCATCTGCCACATTCATCAGCACAAGTGCCATCATCCTGGCCTTTCAGAGTCATTGCCCTTTTGCTTCTAACATGTTTTTTAAAAACACAAACAAACAAACAAAAAACCCCTCCACAAAACCTGGAATGGGAACACGAAGCCTAGTAATAAAGCAATAGAGCAAACTGGCTCTGCTGTGTGCTGTTCCTGCCACATACTCATATGAGATGGCTTCTTTGGGGAAGGAGAAGCAAAGATGTTCTGATGGAATCAAAATCAACAGTATGGAAACAAGGTGCCCCAGACCCATGTCCAGTATTCGGATGCAACTGATTCTCCTTGGGAGACATTTCTTTTATTCACAAATGCTGGCCTTGATCTATAAAACCCTAAACTGTTCTGGCCCAGCTTACCTATCCGAACGTATCTCCCTCTAGGAACCCTCAAGGACTTTAGGATCATCTGGAGAGGCGCTGCTTTCAGTCCCACCACCATTACAGTTGCATTTGGTGGGAAGGAGAGACAGGGCCTTCTCAGGGATGGCCCCTCAGCTGTGGAACTCCCTCCCTAATGAGATCAGATCTGCCCCTTCTCTCATGACCTTCCGGAAGAAGCTCAAATCCTGGTTACGGGATCAAGCTTTCACAGAATAGTTTAAACGGACTGTTTTTAGCTGATGGCAATGGATTGATTTGGAAGATGACATGAAATGACGACCTCTTTTAATGTATGTATAATTATTTTAATGTGTGCTAAATATATATTATGCTTTGTCTTTATTGTTCGGCACCGAATGGTGCCTGTTGGTAGCTGTCCTGAGTCCCTCTTCAGAGGTGAGAAGGACGGGATAGAAATGCTGCTAATAAATAAATAAAATTAGGTTTCCTTAAGATGATTCACAGTAACTGTGTTGAGGCAAGAAAATTACACCTGTGTTGCAGTGGGGGTAAGTGTCACAGAGTTCAGGAACTGAGAATTGTCAAGCGCACTTTTACACCATATTTTCTTAAAACTCATTTTTCCCTAAAATATTTCTATTGAGGGTTTTTTTTTTAAAGGGAGGAGAGTAGAAGAACAGACTGTACATGCACGTTGTGGGGGGTCTTCTCTATTCTTTATTATTTGCCACTTCTCAGACCACTCAGTAAGTAATTAGAGCTGTTTTTCTGTCGTGGAGCAGACCCTAAGAACAGACTGGGGCGCCTTCCACACAGCTGAATAAAATCCCACATTTTCTTCTTTGAGCTGGAATATATGGCATCATGGACTCGGGGCCCTTCCACACAGCATTTCCTCATCACTTGAAACTGAATTAAGCCACTCAGCAACTCATTAGCATTTCCAAATATAGGCACAGACCCCCCAAAACTTATCCTCTCTCATGGGGGGTGCCTCCACAGCTGATTGGCTCTCTTGGACCAATCCTGTCATCTTCTCCCCACCAGAGGGAATCCCTGCCTGGAGGCGGCAACTTCATTAGAGCTCCAGCCAATCAGGTTGTGGATCCAAACCAGCCCCTTTTTTGCCCAATCGGGGAGGGAAGCGGGAAGTTTGAATAACTGTCAAATATATAAAATATTGTGTCTCTGTAGTAATGTTTATGCTGTACCTTTGAAAGCATCCACTTGTACAAGCATCCTTTCTGGCCAGATCAAATAAATTTCTGTGGCTTGTCTTCAACCTGGTGAGTGACTTTTCTGTCCTGGTCTATTTTGGTTTAGCCTGAACGCTCGCCTGGCACGGATCCTTTTATCTGTGGTCCTAGCTCTAAATTTGACTACAGTAGGACAACAAGGGCCAACCAGACCAATCGTGCCCTATATGAATACAAAGTCAAAGCACTCCCACCAGAAGACCATCCAGTCTCCTTTTAAAAACATTGAGAGGAGATTTACTACCTAAAAAAATTCATGGGGACTCCTCTTGTTCCACTAAGGGAATCATGCTGGTGTTAATTTAAAAGGAAGTGAAATGATGGTGATATTTAGCTTAATCCTACCTGCCCAGAATGTGCTTTGATTTCCTTGATCTATACAAATGTATGCCATGTGAATGAACACAGGAATTCAGTCTTAACACCAGTTGTGCAAAATAGCCTACCACCATCTCATTTGCCCAGCATAAATGATATATTTTTGTATTTCTGGGGACTCACGGCCTCTATGACTAAGGCACTTTGAGCTAAGTCTCAATCTTCACAGCCAGCTCCCAGCACAGAGAGAGAAATACTAAAAATAGTATGAAAGTCTTCCCAACTGTTCTTGTTCCCAGAGTGAAATCTTCAGAAGCCCACAAATTTCCCCTGGAATAGAGCATTGCCAGTATAACTGAGTGAGCTTCGAGGCAGATGGTTCTAGTACTGAGAATCAACTGATTTTGTGCAGCTATCCTACATTTTACTCACTAACAGATTTTATGTAAAAAAGCATACACAAGACAAAAGCAACTGGAGGGAGGCAGCACAGGAGAATTTCAAATGGACGTTGTTATCATCTGGTACTCTGTCCCTGGAACATTATGTGTTTGAGGCAGGATAAAAGGATGATGACAGGATAAACCCTCTTTAGAAGCATGCTATCTTTTCAGTTCCCCAGAAAAAAGACTCTTATGCCATTTACTAACAAATGTTATTATGGCATATGCATTAATTCTGGAATGGATGTAATCTAGCCAACTAATTCATTGTTGTGCATATTATTGGAATTATGCATATTACTTTGCATTCTAACTAGGCAAATTCAACACATTA